TTAGTAAGAGTAAAAATGACTTTCTAAAATAAAAGGAAAGTATTCTTTGGGACGGATGAAAAAAGAAAGAAAGAGAAACTTGTTGTTGGGTATTACATACGAGGAAAGAGTTGAGGGTGGAGAGGGCGAGGGTGGTGTAGCGGCCCAAATAGGTGTCGCAAATGAAGGCGCCGAGGATGGTGGCGAAGTTGGTGGTTCCGTTGAAGACGTTGAGGAGATTGGCGGCGGAGATGTGGGTGAGGTGGAAGACGGTGGTGAGGTAGACGAGGAGGTTCGACAGCGTCCCGATTGCACCCAGCTTCTCGAACGTCTCATTCCCTATGATGAATGGCATGGCTTTGATTCCCCTGTATTTTGGAACCACTTCTTCTTTATTCATTTCTGTTTCTTTCATCTTCTTCTCATCTCCCTCTGTATTCTCTCTTCCATCAACACTATAATCCATCCTCTCTTTTTCTTGTTTTGTTCTGTATAAAACACCTACTAGCTAGCAGCCTCGGGAATAATTTTAATTCTCTCTCTCTCTCTATATATATACATACATTACTCTGATCTGTCTGTGAGTTTAGTGGATCTTTAACTAGTGTGATCCGGGCGGGTGCTGGGGGTTCGGTAGGGATAGATATATTATTGAAGCTCAACTGTGAAGTGTGAACACAAGGAATATATCTTCACACACAGGCGGCGTGGCATACATAAAAAAGAACTTGGTTACGACTAAAAATTGATTGTTTTTATCTTTTTCAAACAATTTCCAGTAAATTCTCACCCTGGCCGATCCAAACTGACTCCCCACCCCATAAAACATAATTAACTTTGGGGTCAAATTTGACTCAAAATCAACTAAATTTTGTGAGGTGCAATTGGAAAGGGTTTGGGTAAGGCCAGGGTGGGTTTAATGGGATGTTTGGGGAGAAGAAATAATCAATTTTTCGAATCATCCTATAAAAGTGAAATTCAATATCACCTCAACCCCAATGTTTAAATATTTGGAACCGAGAAAAGTATTCGGTTGTACACTTGTACCGAAGAACGGGTCAACACGGATTCAAATAAATCGAAGATTGAATATGTTTCAATCAAGACAAACAACAAAAAGAAAACAACGCAACCCAATGTTCAATGCATGAATGAATATCTCTAGGAAGATTATGATTTATGTTAGTGACAATTATAACATTTGAAATTATGACTAAAACATAAGTCATTTCCTAATGTAGGATTTAAACTTTTTTCACTGTTTATAATAATAATACTTCCTCCGTCCACGAATAAAATAAGATTAGAAAATTTACTTTGTTGACCTTTTTCACATGGTCAAACTTTATTCACTTTGTTGACCTTTTTTCGTCACCTATTTGATAAAATAATATAGTCATGTCACCTCTAGTTTTGTAAATCTTTTTATATAGTTTTTTAATATGTAATTTTTATTTTTCAATTCTACACCATTTTTCATATAAAATAATTTGAAAATAATTTTAGTCAAACATCGTAACACGCAATGTAAAATTTATTTATGGACGGAGGGAGTATAACACAATTAGACAAAAAAAATAAAATATGATGATTTTTTGGGACAGAAATAATATAAAATTTTAAAATGTAGTATCACTCAGGTAAACAATAAGAAATACGTAGAAAATAGGGGATGGGCTTAAAAAATATGGGGCCTTGGGACTTTTAGGCTTTTCGGCTATGCTACCTCGGTCCACTTTTTATCACATGGGCGTACGAGAAAAGAGGGAGAAATTTTTTGTTGTGAAAAAAAAAAATTACATAGGAGTAAGACACAGGAAAATACTCAATATAAAAGTTTCATATTTTTTATCTCAAAAATGGTTGTTGTTTTAATCCAATTTGACACTGTTTATTAATCTTGCATAGTCTTTTTGGTATTATATACTCCCTTCGCCCCATATATTTGTCTACTTTCATTTTTACACACCATCCAATGCACTTCTTTAATCCATTTTATCTTATAATTTGTATATTAAAAAATTATAGAAATTGTATATTTATAATTTATATGTTAAGATAAATCAAACAAGATCACACATGACTATATTTAGGCTTACATATTGAGAGAATTTGATGAGTCAAAGTGCTTAGATGAACAGTTCCAAAAGTCAAATGTGAACAAATACAGGGGGACGGAGGGAGTATATGTTAATATTATTTGCATTATATTGATAGAAAATCCTGGGTTGATACCTTCGGGAAACTCGATGATGAAAAATTTCTTAGGCCAATTCCCCACTTTCCCCTCCACTGCTTGAAAAATGTTCTGTACCTTGTGGGTGTAGATGCTTGTGTAAGGGAAGACACCACCCATACTAAAAAGTACTCCGTAGTAAGAAACCATCCTTCAAAGGCGTCTTTTAATTTCCTTTTGCTGGCATCTTAGAAAGTAAGAAACAAAGTACCGGCGCGCATTCAATGTAATTAAATTGACCTGGCATGGGGGAATGTGCCACGTCAAGCAAATCTCGCGGATGAAATGATGGATTGGGAGCCTAAACCCACTGAGGATGAAACCATATTGCAACACCAGGTAATGATGTGGTTAAGAGTTGTTAGTAAGGTTGATGTTCTGAAAAGCCTTGGGGTGGTGAACTTTGACAGAATCACCCAGCAGCTCCCCCGTCAAATCAAGTTCAGTATCTTTGATTATGCTTGGCTTGGGATGCCAATTTTCGTTGTTAACCTTTGGTTTGGTAGCCAATGGAAGTGATTCAGAAATCGGAGAAGAAATGTTACAGAGAATTTTTTAGCATATTGGGTCGGAGAAAAAGGTAAAGATCGGGAGTTACATTATGGTGGAGTTTATAGCCGTTATGATATGCGGATCGAGATGTGATATAAAGGCAACGGACATGTGCGCCATTTCTGATTTATACACGAGAGTTGAGGAGTTTTCTTAGTGACCTCTCACTTGAGAAACTTGTGATGGATATCGAGCCTAGTAAAAAAAGAATCGGCCCAAAAAATTGCTACGGTTCTTGTGTAGATTGGGTCGAAGAGGTAATTACTTAAGTGGTTGGGCTTGGGCCACAAATTAGCTGTCAAAGAGAAGGTCAATTCCACAGATCGTGAGGGATTGATCAACGATGCTCCACCCATAATTGGTGTCCATTAGATCAACCGCGACAAGAAACATGGACAACGATAGATGAATTACCATAAACATCATATTTTGTAAACTACCTATAAATAGGGTGTAAAGTCTCCTCGGCAAACCCAAGCTTACTTAAACTAATACAAGTGATATCAAAATTATATATTGAGAATTTTGTTATTATCCTTATTACTTTTCGAGCATTCATAGTTGACGGGCTATAATCCATCACTCTGTTGTTCATAAATATATGAATTGCGTATGAGTCATTTTAATACATAAATGTAAATATTGAAAAGATGTAATGTGATTTGTAATACTCCAATCGTACGGAAATGACATTCCCTTTTCACGTTCTTTAATACAAACTATAAAAATAAATATCTACATTTATACATGGATATATTTTATAAAAATTTAATATTTTACTGATAAATTTAAAATTGGACAAAGATAACTAAATTGGGTAATAAGACACTTGGTTTGAATCACACAAAAGATTGAATCCAATCGATTAGTTAGTTTAACACAGGAACTTATATAACGATTATTTTACTCTTGAACTTCCAATGTGGGATGCACTCTAACACTACCCCTCAAGTGGACAACCAGACCATTTTGAATCTAATCAGTTGACCACTTGCAAATGAACTCTCATTCCCTTGATCTTTTTGAGCGCCAATACCTAATGGACCACGAGTCGCTGGGTATGAACTTCCGATCCAGACGAGCAATCGTGTTAAACGTTGGGCACATACTCCATACGGACAACTAGGCTAAAGACTAACAGGCCGCTAGGAATGAACGTCTAGACGGACACCTTCACAAACGAGGTGGGCCAAAACCTACTCTCATACCATGAAAGAATTGTAATGGGGAGAAATTCTCTTGTATTTTTTGTCATCACATTATAAACAAAGGTCGTATATATATAGGATCTCACAACTTGGGAACTCTATGTGGAAACTAGATACAAAAGAAAAGATATGAGTATATACGAGAAACTACCAAAATAATATATATGAGAATATATGGAAATATATTCTTTCCTTTTTTATATTTACAATTAAGTTTCGTAAGCAAATTATTTTTGATATTACATTTATATCGAAACACATTACATATTTTTTAATATATCAAAGTTAAAATTTACAAACTTTGATACTCCCTCCGTCCTAAAACTTTCTTCTCAGTTTGACTTTTCTCCTTTTTTAATTTTTGGCTTTGACTTCAAATTTTACCATCCTTAAAAAAGATTTTTTGAAATTTTTTTTTCAATCATTCAAAATATAGAGTTAGAAGATAATTGGTGTAAATACATGAGGGTACTAATGTCATTTGTTATCTTTTTTTTCTAATGGGAAGGTAATTTTAGGACGGAGAAAAAGGGGAAGTGGGAAGAAAGTTTTAGGACGGAGGAAGTAATAATTTAAGATCCTTTCCGAACTAAAAGAGTACTCGGTATTTATTAATTTTCAAACTCTTTTTAACTTTTTACACTTATACAATCCATTCCAACCATTTTCTTATTACCCCTCCTTCATAATATTTGTATTTGTTTCATCATTCTTTTTCAACCTAATTAATTAATCCCAATTTCAATTCTTCAAGTTGCTTTTAGTATCTTCCGGTATGAATCCGATATTACCACATTTTTATTCTTTGTGCAAATAATTAAAAACATCAAACTAAGAGCACTAGTAATTGTTATGAAGCTCCGATGCTTCAAACCGGGGCTTCAAATTTTTTCTCCCTGCCACGTCAGCTTTAACCTACACCCAAAATTCACTGGAAATGGGTTTGAAGCCCCGAGGCTTCAAAATTGGGCTTCAAACCTTCATTTTTTACATTTTTAAATATACATCTTCTAAAATTAAATTAATAAAATGTAATTAATTTATTATTTAATTAAATTGAAACACGAATAATAAAAAAATACATTCATTAAATAAAAAAAGCGTCAAGAATTTAAAAAAAGATACATTAATAAAAAAACCAAGGTAAATTATATTTCTCCTTGATCTCTCTCATTCTTTGCTCATAAATCATTCGTCCAAACTCCGACAACGTCCCGGGGTCGGTTTGCATGACTTTCATCTCGGCCTCCTGCTCCTTTAGCTTCAACTCCTTCTCCTTTAGCTTCAACCTCTCTTGTTCTTGGAGATTGAACGTCCGAAGTTGTTCAATCATTGCCCGGCCGATTTCGTCGTGGGGAGAAGCGGAAATAGAGGCGGACCCTCCCGAACCCGAGACAATGAATTTTGCCTTCTTTCTTCCGATTGGCCGTGGAATGGGGTCCTCGTCATCAGAATCCGCAATGTTGAAGGGAGGGATTTGATTGCTAGAACTGATAGTTTCGTCGACCTCAACCTCGGCGTTGACGGTGGATCTTTTCCGGAACGATCCGCCGTCGGGATTGTTGAGTTGTTGCCACTTCGGGGAACGACTCAAAATCCTCCAAAGATCGATGGGCACCTTGCCTTGGTTTCCGTCGTCTTGATACCGGGTCGTGGCAAGCTGGAGAACATCGGCGTCGTTCGTGCCGCTCCTCCGAGACCGGGAGCATTCCTCGAAACTCCCATAAACTTTCGGACTTTTTTGTTGATGTGGCTCCATTTGGAAGTGAGTTGGTCCCGGGTTCGGTAGGAGCCGTCCTTCTTCATCGCCGTGAAGAACTTCTCCTCGATACGATCCCACATCGCATCTTTCGTTTGCTCCGTACCTTTAAAAATGTATTACACAATTTTTTAGACACCATTAAATATAATATATAAAAATAAAAACATAAATATATTACAAAAAATAAATTTTTAACCAATGATAGGATGCTCGGAGACGTCAACCCAAGCCGACGCCAATATGCACTCCTCCTCCGGCGTCCACTTTTGGATTGACCGTGCCGCCTCGGTCAACGTGCTTTTGGCTTTGTGGCTTTTTCGGCGTGTACTTTTTTTCGATCTGGACGGTTCCGGTTGAGTCTGCGGAACTGAATCTCGGTCGACGTATCCCGACTGTTGCTAATACCACATCGCGGCGTCGACGGGCGCGAGATCGTCGGGAAAGAAGCCGGAGCCGGAAGGATTCATGTTGAATAGAGAAGAGGTAATTTCGAAATTTAAAATGGGAAGAAGAAGAGATTGAAGAGAAGGTGTGAGAGATTGGGTGGGGTGGGGTTTGAATTTATAAGAATTTTTTTTAAAATGGGGTGCAACGGCTTTATAGCCGTTAGGAGAGGGAGGGGAATGGAAATGACGCAGCCGCTGGCCCAATCACGCCGTTTCACGCCCGGCGGGGGGCGGTGTTTCACGCCCCCGAGGCGTTAAACGCTCCATCACGCCAGGGGGCGTTGCATGTATTACCAGTGCTCTAACTCGAACCTAATTACACATACATGTTATAACTTTTTTGCCACTATAAGTTCTATTAGAACAATGTACTCTCTCCATCCACAAATAAAGTTTCCATTGCGCGTTACGATGTTTGACTGAAATTATTTTCAAATCATTTTATATGAAAAATGGTATGTAATTAAAAAATAAAAATTAAATATTTAAAAACTACATGAAAAGATCTACAAAACTAGAGATGACATAACTATATTATTTTATCAAACAAGACACAAAAATAAGCCAACAAAGTGAATAAAGTTTGACCCTGTGAATAGTGAACGAGAACTTTATTGTTGGACGGATGGATTAATTAATTTCAGTTTAAATATAGTATCTCATCAATATATCGCAGAATAAAGAGGCTAGTTAATTAACGTCGTCTCCTAATTAATTTACTTAGAGAATTAGAGCACAAGATATAATAAATAAAGTGTGTAGCTAGGTTATTATTATTGTTATTGATACCAAGCCCTAACAAGTAACAACCCATTATTGCATGCACGTTATGTATATAGTAATAACAACTTATAAATCACTCTCTTCGATGGTAGAATTTGAGGCAGCCGCAAGCAGCACAAGTTAGGGCGGCGAAAGTCCCCTCAACGCCACCGCTTGCCATGAACTCCTGGCAGCCGTCGAGCACGACCGCTCCGTTTCCACCTCTGCTGGCGGCGGGGAGGTGGTTCTTTCGGCATTCGGCGTACCGAAACCTGGCGTTGTTTCTCATACTTACGCCGTGGCCGCCACCGGAAGTTTCTGCTCCGGTGGTATTCCTTCTGGTGGTGTCTCTCTTCTCCACCGTCTTGGTCTTCCTCATCATGATGATGATTAGTAATTATTATACTTGTGTTATTATATATATATATAGAGAGAGAGAGTATCTTCTACAAGTAATTTATAAGATAACTAGCAAAACGTATGGTAGTACCGCCTTATTAGCTTAAAAGATGCGAGCTATATATATAATGCACGAGTGTGTGTGTGGGTGGGTGGGTGATGTATGCCTGCCGTTTCTTACGTGGGATAATCGCACTTTTCGACCGTAATAATCGCCTTAGCTCCTTTCCAATCTTAAACAAAAATTGATATAAATACTCTCAGAAATTCGAAATTTCATAATAATACTTCGAAATTTAATAAAAGACTCTGGTGCTCTCAATTAAATTATAAGTTTACATTACTACTCCCATTATGCCTAATCAGCTTTTCTTACGCTTACATGTAAGTAATTATGCTTAGTTGACATCTTAGTTGTTTTTTTTTGTTTTAATAAGAGGAGAAAATTATATAAATACTCTCTGAAATTCAAAATTTTACACTAATACTCTCAAAACCAAATAAAGACTCCAGATAAAAAATATCTTCCTTTTACGTGTTACGATGTTTCATAAAAGTGGTGTGAAATCAAAAAATAAAATTATATATCTAAAAACTAGTCATAAGATCTACAAAACTAGTAATGATATAATTATATTATTTTATCAAATATATAATTAAAATAGGTAAGCAAAGTAAATAAAATTTGATCTTGTTAATACTCTTAATAGTGAATGAGAAGATAATTTTTAGACGGAGGAGGTATTTTGTATTAAAACATAAAAAAATAACTAAGATGCCAATTAAGCTCAATTAATTAATATTTAATATTATTAAAAAATTATTTTTACATATTACTATATTAGTTTTTTAATATGTAATTTTTATTTTTTAATTTCACACCATTTTTCATATAAAATACTTTAAAAATAATTTCAGTCAAATATAGTAACGTGCAACGAGAATATACTTTTGGGAGAGCTGGAGTCTTTATTTGATTTTGAGAGTATTATTGTAAAATTTTGAAAACAAAAAAATAACTAAGATGCCAACTTAGTTTAATTAATTACACGTAAACGTAGGAAAAGCTGATTAGGCTTAATGGGAGTAGTGACGTAAACATATAATTTAATTGCGAGCACCAGAGTCTTTAATTCATTTTGATAATAATTGCTCTTGCTAAATCATGAGACCTACATTAATATGTATAGATAATACATGGAGAATCCTAATTAAAGTAAAATAATAGTTATAAAAGCAATAGAATTAGGAAACAATTAATACGGAGTAATATAACTCCCTTTGGTCAAAATTGGTAAACTTTGATCCCAAATTAAATAAAACTAATATTAGGTATTGATACAAAAATAGTTTTATTAGATTTATCATATAAGACATTTTCAAAATATTATTTTATCAATTTAATATACTATATATATATATATATATATATATATATATATATATATATAATTTAATTGTAGGTCAATGGTTCAAAATGATTGATAGAAAAAAGTTAAAAATGGACAAATACTCTGAGACAGAGGTAGTATTGGTTTCCTATTATTATTATAATATAACAAATGCAGCATGTCTTTCCTTCGTTCCATTACAATTTTCTTACGAGGAATTTACCCATATAACACTGAAACATAATGATTTTTTCTAAATATCATCATATCTTTCTATTTTCCAATATAGCATTTTTATTTATTATTCATTAGTCATTATTCGAGTAAATGTTCACCATCACTGGACATTATTCCTTCTTCTGGACATTATTAAGTGTTATTTAGGGAATAAATTTAAGTCCAACATTAAAAAATGACTTATGTTTTAGTGCTATTTAGCAAATATTTCTTTTCTTAATAACTACCTCCGTTCCAGAGTATTTGTCCAGTTTGACTTTTTTGAGTCAAACTGGACAAACTTTGAACTCTAATTACTCTCAATTTGTATTGAATATTAGCATAATGAAATACAATTTTGAAAGTTCTAAATACGATAAATCCAATAAAGTTATTTTTACATTAAAATACTTTACGGTTTTTATTTAATTGAAGATCAAAGTTTGTTCAGTTTGAGTCAAAAAAGTCAAACTGGACAAATATTCTGGAACGGAGGGAGTATATGTTTATAAAAAAATCTGAAATAAAAAATGCAAACTATTTATTATATGAAGGGAGCCTGCTCATCATTGGATCTAATTTGATGACCAATTGTAGGGGAGAAACAAGGAGTGTGACACTATACTTAAAATAATTAACTTCAAGACAAACCGTCAAAATGCTTTAACCCAATTGACCACAATTGATTCACTAAGAAAATAAAAGACAATCAGCAAGAAAAACACAACAAAAAATAAAGAATAAAAATACAAATGACACACGAGATTTATGCATTGAAAATTTCTTCAAAGTGATGGACAAAAATTACGGGACTTACAGGGAGTCCTCTCTTCTTCTTCTCCTCTTACTATACAAAATGAGAGTAAAAGCACCTAAATCAAGTCTACAAGAATGTCACAATCCACCTACAACAACATACATAAGCGTGGGAATAGAACTTCACCAGTTTTTAGATCGTGGAAAATTTTGGGTACCGTACATCATTGAAATTCGGAAGAAGAGGAAATTCAGAAAAAAAGAGTGTATAAAAAACACGGCGTAATGGGAGTAGGTCAACGCAGTTGTTTTCCTATAATGATGAGCCTACTATATACTTCTTATGTCCCATGAAACATGAGATGTTTTGCTTTTTGAAAAGATTTAAGGGAGTGTATTTTGGTATTGAATTTCCAAAAATGTCCTTTGATGTGATGGGTAAAAGTAGGATTTGATGGGTAGATTATTAGTAAAAAGGTATGATGTGATAGGTAGGGTATGAAAAAGTAAGGGGTAAAAGTGACTTTTTAATAGAAATGCGAAATGTTTTATGGGACGGATGAAAAAAGAAAGGAGAAAGGTTTTATGGGACGGAGGGAGTATACACACACACACTTCCTCATCCGTTCATAAATAAAGTTCTCGTCGCGCGTTACGATTTTTGACTAAAGTTATTTTCAAATAATTTTGTATGAAAATTGATATAGAATTTAAAAATAAAAATTACATCCATAAAAACTACATGAAAAAATTTACAAAAATAGAGGTGACATGATTATATTATTTTATTAAATATGATACGAAAATAGACTAACAAAGTGAATAAAGTTTGAGGATAAGGATATGCCGCATGCATCCATGATGCATGTGTCCAACTTTTAAAAACTTGAGATATTTACTTGATAACGTTTCTTCTATCTGAAAATATTATTATCATTCTTTATTTACGGTTAATTTTCATAACTTTGTTTGTGTATATATATTTTCATTATTCGTTTCACAATGTAATACATCAACGTCATTTTTAATTTGTAGAATTTTTCATATAATTTTTTAACATTAAACTTTATTTTAAATCTTAATACTTATATCCAAATAAAAGAAATTGGAATTCATTTAATCAAACTTTACAAACTAAAATGGGAACAACAGTTATAGACCGATGTATTTTTTGGATTTTGAATAGTGCATAATTAAGATCTACCCTAAAAATAATACCGAGTAATAATAATGTATTCCGTACAAAACTCTGCAAATGATAAAGCCTAAATGGAAAAGTTGTTGGCGTAGTATGCGCCGGTATTTTTTTCATGAGGTGCCGTATCTCATTTTAATTAATTAATTTGGTTAATTGCAGTTAAGGGCCAACGTGCATTGTTAATTTCGAGCCACGTGTCTCGGGTCCATACTTATCATACTCCGTATTAGCGGTGAGCGTGCTACGGTATGTTATGATATTTAGCTCGTACCGATACCGTACCAAATATTTCGGTATGAGATTTTACGTTGTACCGATCCCGATCCCAAAGCATCGGTTCGATATGGTTCGGGATGGTTCGGTATCGGTTTCGGTACGAATCGGGATGAATATATACGTACCTAGTTTACATCATAAAATGTAACAAAACCTTTTACTTTTGAAAAATTGAATGTACTTAACCAAAGAAAGATAAAAAATCAAAAAATGAAAAAATAAATTACAAGAAATGCTTATGAAAGTTAGTTTTTATTTCACAAATTAAAGAGAACGAGTGATAACAAAGTATTATTACAAATATTTGTTAATATTCTTAAACTCATCTACACAAAATAAAAAACTCTTATTAAAGTACAACTTAAACATAATGAAATTAAACTAAATTGTCTTTATAAATTTTTTATTTAATGAAGAAATATAAAAAGATTATTATTTTTATAATATGAGGAATTTACGTAAATAACATTAAAACATAATGACTTTCCCTAAATAGCGTCACATGTGCTTTTTTCCTAATGTAGCACTTTTAGTCATTATACATTAGTCATTATTCAAGTAAATATTCGTCATCACTTGACATTTTGGACATTATTAAGTGCTATTTAAGTAATAAAACAGTTTTAGTGTTATTTAGTGCAAATATTTCTTATAATATACTCCCTCCATCCCTAAATAAACTTTCCTTATTGACTGTTTGGGAAATTAAGGGAGGGATATTTTGGTGTTGACTTTCCAAAAATACCCTTGATGCGATGGATAAAAGTAAGATGTGATAGGTAGATTATTAATAAAAAGGTATGATGTGATAGGTAGGGTATGAAAAAGTAAACAGTAAAAGTGGTTTTTAAGAGAAAAGCAAAGTTTTTTTGGAGACAAAGAAAAAACGAAAAGGGATGTTTATTTGGGAATGGAGGGAGTATTAGTATATATGTTCGATTCGGGAATTTCCGTATGGGAAGTAACGTCGTACCGTTCCCAAATACCGGACCGACCGTTCTGTTCGGTACGATTCGGTTTCTTTTCGGTACTTTATCGGTTTAGTATTTTTCGGTTCGGTATTCTCGATTTTTTCGAAAATATCGGAATCTATTCGATTCTTTCTCACCCTACTCGTATTCCTTTCTCGATGTCACATTTCTTTTGTGGCGTTTGAGCCCCCAGTTTTTAATTATGGGAGATGTTAGGGGTACATCAAAAAGTGTAACCCATTTGTACATCACCCCTCCATAATCACTCATTTATTTTTTACTTTTATTTACTTAATTTTTTAAAAAGTTTTTATCTATTTAAGTAATAATGGGGGGTGGGGAATGGGGTACACTTGTGCAATTAGAGAAATTGAATGTGCAATTAGAGAAATTGAATCCCCCCATTCGCACGGGAGGAAGAACAACCAGCAGCCGACGTCCTATTTCTGAAGGGCGACGCCGAAGACGCGCCGCCTGCACTGCGACGGTGCGTCCTCCCTCCACGGCTCCACCACCACCCTCAATTGGTCCAGCTCTCTAGGTATGAATCTCTATTTTTATTTCCCTTTTCAGTTTTCATTTTTTAGATAATTGATGCCTTTTTTTTAAAGATTTGATTCTTCTACACAGAGTTTTACTTTAAATTTCTATTTAGAATGGCGAATGAATTGCAATTTGATAGGAAATCATTTTTGTTTTGATTTTTTAATTTTTTATATAAAAAAATATCGCTAATTAGGTCAAATAACTTATGGAATGATAGAAATTTTCAAAGTGGAAACGATATGGTGAGGTGAGGTCGATTACTAATTAGAGATTAGGGATTTAGGATTCTCTAGTTTTATAAGCCCGGGACATTATTTTGTTTTATATGAAAACTAAAAAAAATTTCCTCCTTGTTTCCCATAATTTGTACATTTAACTTCAAGAATGGTTCCTAGGAAATAAATTGTTTGATTGACAATTTTGCATCAAAATATACAAAGAGGGTGTCTCTTTATCTATAACCTTGTATACATATTTTCTACTTCATTATAACAAATCAAGTAATAACTGTGAAATAATTTTGCATTTTTTAGATACAATAGGGCCATTTTTTTGGACAGGGTCCTTTTATGTTACGGACCGGCCCTGGCCTCATTTTTCGTCACCTTGAAGGCGAACTTGATGGCATGATAAGTGTAGAATCCTTCGGGTGTAACCTGGACGACCCCTTCCCCCGCATGGCTTAGGAGCCAAGGATCAATTGGTCCACCATTCTCCATCCTCAGCTCTTGGGGTCGCATTCAACCAAGAGGTTGGGTAGAGCTTGGCCCTTCACGGATTACTGAGGCTTTATCTCGATGGACTCCTTTGAAAGGGGGCCAAAACGTACTTCAAAAGTTGAAAATACTACTTTTCAAATGGAAAAGTGTTGCTCTGTACTTTTAAATTTAAAGTACTCCATATTATTTTGTTCAAGTCTCACATTGCACATTTTTCGTTTTTGTTTTTGAATTTTCTGTTGTTACATCTGTTAGATTTATTGTGAAGTATAACATTATCTATTCATTTAGAAAGTACTTGAAACAAATGTAGAGTCAGTAGAGAAACCAAATGTAGACTTTGTGGACTTATGCAAAACCTCCTGTACATTTGGTTTACTATTCATTGAAAAATCAATCAGTGAGCCCAATGTTGAGTTTGTAGAGATCACTTATACGAAGCCAACTGTTTTATATGTCCTTTAGATTGTCTTCTTTTCACTGGTACATTATCACTTTACAGGGGTCTAGTATCCATGATTCTGTAATGTAATTGATTGGTCATTCAAATGGCTTCCCTGTTAGTACTCTAAGAGAGTCTCTTAAGTCTTAGCCATTGGAAACTGAGATATCATTGTTAACATTTGTGTTTCTCTAGCTTAAGGAAGATGGGAAATCTATTAGGCTGTATCCAAGTTAATCAGTCCACTGTGGCGATTAAGGAACATTTTGGTAAGTATGAGGATGTGCTAGAGCCAGGATGCCACTGTGTGCCTTGGTTCCTCGGAAGCCAAGTGGCTGGTCATCTCTCACTCCGTGTGCAGCAAGTGGAAGTCCGTTGTGAGACCAAGTCCAAGGTGTACTATTCTTTTATAGTCATTTGTCTTTCCCTTATTAGAAAGAAGTTTGTTACTACTCCTTAAGTTTCCTTCCTCGTGAAGGGCTCAAGATATAAGATACTACTCCTTTTAGTCCCAGTCAGTCCATTTTAACTGTTCATGTTGGGTATTATTGATATTCATTAATGATGCATTTGCAGGACAATGTATTTGTCAATGTTGTGGCATCGATTCAGTACCGAGCCCTTGCTGGAAAGGCAAATGATGCCTTTTATAAATTGAGCAACACTAAGGGTCAAATTCAGGCATACGTTTTTGATGGTACATACTTATGATAAAACTTGTCCTTCGCTTATATGCAGACCTATTCCTGTGGTCTACATTTTTAGTTTACCTGAAATGGATTTTCGTTTTATATATACCCAGTAATCAGGGCCAGCGTTCCCAAACTCAATCTTGATGATGTTTTTGAGCAAAAAAATGATATCGCCAAGGCTGTTGAAAATGAACTTGAGAAGGTCAGCAGCTCCCACAATTTTCTATTGGCAAGGCTGTTGAAGATCAAATTTGTTTCATAGTTCTCAAATTTCTCACAGAAACCGTTGTTTTGTTCACAGGCTATGTCTGCTTATGGCTATGAGATTGTTCAGACTCTAATTGTTGATATTGAACCGGATGAGCACGTTAAGAAAGCTATGAATGAAATCAATGCTGGTAAAAAGAAGATATTTTCTTGTCCAATTTGGCTTTGTGCTACGTTCCTACTTTGTTCTATGAATTCATTGAAGTACCTTGAACTGATTGTTTTCAATGGTCGTACATTGTTAAAGCTTAAAAGCTTACAATAAGAATATCAAGAAAGAAAATTAACATGCCACTGATTTTTGGACTCACTTTGATGTTCTGTTCCCAGCTGCTAGGCTAAGGCTTGCTGCGAATGAGAAGGCAGAGGCTGAAAAGATTTTGCAGATAAAGAGGGCAGAGGGGGAGGCTGAGGCCAAGTACCTCGCAGGGTTAGGTATTGCTCGCCAACGACAAGCCATTGTGGATGGGCTTAGAGACAGTGTTCTAGGGTTCTCGGTCAACGTCCCGGGAACCTCAGCCAAAGATGTCATGGACATGGTTCTAGTCACCCAGTACTTTGACACAATGAAGGAAATCGGTGCTACCAACAAATCATCCACCGTCTTCATCCCTCATGGGCCCGGAGCAGTTCGTGACGTGGCTTCTCAGATCCGTGATGGCCTTCTCCAGGCTTCTCACCGTGACTAACGACCTCCGTAAATGCTCATACCTCCAAACTTTGTGTTCATACAAATGTTTAGCAGATAGTCTTGATGGTCTGATCTTTTGGAGAATGGACTTAGATGGTACGGGCCTGGGAATTGTCGCACAGTTATTGTGAATTGTTCTTTGCCATTTTTAAGTTACCCTTTGATAGCTAGCTGGGTGCCAAAAAAGTCTTTCTGCTCCTACCTTATTTGCTAGTTCTGGAGTACCTAAAGTTGGTCAAAAACAGGAGTAAAAGAGAGTAAAGTCTTGCATTATACTTATTCACCAGAGCAGGAAAGAAATAGTGGAAATGATCATTAGTTAGCACACTATAAGAATGGAAATTAATAATGTCAATACTTTTGACGACAGAATTAATGTCATTTCAAATCTGCCCTTAAATCCAGGACAAATTTTGCTCCTCTCTTCTCTATTTTATTTTTTTTTTGCATTAATACGAAGCAAAAGAAACACGTTGGGAAAAGAAAAAAAAATGTGTGGTCGCTGTAAAATCTCCATCTTCAACAAAGTCGTGTTTGTTTGTCCTAATTGTGCACACTGCTGCTACTGGTATGTTGTAACTAGAGCAAACGATCGGACAAGCTGGGGAGCCTTCTAAAGAAGTTGAGGGTGGGCGGTGGCATAGGGTCCCTGAACATGGGGTGGCGGAGGAAGTAGAACCCCAGCGCCACCGCCACCATCTTTGCCGGCACCAAGTACAACACTATGGTAACTGCTAATCCCACCACTATAAACATCTTTGTGGCTGCAGGGTCTCTCCAGGTCACCAGTGCCTGCAACCTCTCTCCCTGTGTTGCAAAATCACCCAACACTGTTTGGACTCTTGCTGCCAATATCCTCATCCGGTCATACCGGGCGTGCACCACTTCCGGTGGTCTTGAACTCGGTATGGTGTCGAATTCCTCGTCCCATTCGTCCGGGTCCACTGTCTGGGCTTGCGACACCCTGGTATCCTTACCCGCTGGTATTTTGGGCCGGAAGCGGTAGTACCACACTGCGATCAACAACACGTACAGGCACCCTGTCGGGACAACCATGTCCGGGTACCATACCAGAACCAAGTAGAGAATATGAACCAGAATGGTCGTGATCGGGTTCCTCCACCTCCGGATACTGTCTAACCATTTAGCCAACCCGACGACCCAAGACAAAACCGCTACGATCCGAAACCAATTAGCCTTGCTCTTCCTCATGCTCCAGTTATGCGAGTCCGCATCCAACATGTACCGGACCACCTCGCTCCCCAACGGTGGCTCAGACCGGGCCAGCCAAGCAGCCACCATTTTAATGGCGGCCCCACGTAGCGCCTCTTGTTGAGCCACCCCTAGCGGGCGAAGATAGTGCATGCGTGGCAGTAATGGCTGTCCGTAAATCGTGCACAAGTCCGGCAGCATAGCCGGGGAAGAAAAACGGACCGCCAGCTCGATTTCCCCCATTTTCTTCAACCCGGTCCGGGACAGGACGAGCAACGGGTACGAACTGGTGTACACCTTGTCGACCTCCAACGTCGACACCCTTAGGTGTATTTTGCCAATCTTGTAGTCGGCCGCGATCTCCTCCCCGTCACCGGTGGCGAACATGCGCCAGTTGTCGAAGACGCCGATGGCGAGAACCGTACAAGGGTCGTAGACTTGCCACGTGTACTGCTCGTTCCACCGTGGGTCGAAGCAGTCCATTATGGTCCGGGTCCGGACCCATTTCGGGCCGTACTTCGCGATGCAGTAGGCGTCGGTGGATCCTTTGGCTCCTGGGCCATTGGACTTGATGGGCATCAACCCGCGGGCTCCAAGAATTCCCAGCTCCAGAGTTCCAATAGCGGGTTTCCATAGCTGTTTGGCCGTGGGCCTGAAATCACTGCACAGGTGGGCTGCTTCGTCGTGGACGTGATACCCCCCTTCCAAACACGCCCTTAAATTCAGCCTGCCCATGTATGGCCCACCGGGTCCCTCGCTGCCGCCTTCCAATCCGTACCATTTCGCCGGCACGAGGCGTTCGTCCAGCCGTTGCGGGACCGAGTTCATGGGAACTACGATGTGGCCGAGAAGTATGGGATCCATCCCCGTCCGGTCCTCCACGAGCAGAATCAGGCTATCTTCCAGTGGCTCGCCGGCGACGAAGACGATGTCCTCGTTCCAGTGGAACGCCGAGCTGTTGGCGTTCAATGACCCGCTCCGGGTCCGTATGGACTGGAACCCTAGCTGTGCTTTGACCCGAATGTCCGGCTTAGTCAACGGCGGCAGATTGGGAGGAATGGGGAGATCCTGTGCTTCGATGACGGTCACTCTGAAATACCACAGCTTGGGAGACTGGTAAACCTTGGGGCGCGTGTGAGCCACCGGCGGTTCATTTGAACTCAAGGATTCGGGAAATGCTTCGTCTGCTTGAGTCCCGATCCATACAGAAAGCTGGATGTCGCCGGCGACCTTGTTGGGTTCAACGGAATCACCGGCCTCGAGGCGGTACCACTGCGGAGCTAATGGAATATCAGGTGGGTTGCGGACTGGAACGTCGGAGAGATCGAAGCAAACGCCGCCCAGAAACTGCCCTGACGAACCGTCCCAAATTGAAATCTCCAGGGTGGAGCTTGACCCGTTTTGCTTGTGGCTGAGAGCAAATACCTGATTCCACTCCGGGTTCGTCGGAGGATCCCCTGGCTGTCCCGGCCGAAACAATCCCGGTGACACCTCCGGCAGACGTTCTAATCTTGGCGATCGGGGTCTCGCTAGGAGCGATCCCGCGAGCTTTGACTATTTTCACGAACAAGTATTGCATCTGCTCGACCAGATCGTACGCAGAGTTCTTCTCCGACTTTTCCGGCAACTTACCGGCGATCGCTCTGGGCGAAAGCTCCCCGCCTTTCTGGCGCGTCAAGACCTTAACCCTGTCCCCAACTCTCCCCGCCTGCATCCTCTTCAATTCAGGTGGGGGAGGATGGTGTTCGAACGGCGGAGGCATGTTAACCATTTCGTAATGCTGTTGGTACTCAACCGGCGGCGGAATATTCCTAAACTGGGGAGAGTCCTCAACGGTGACAATGGGCGGAGATGATTCTCGCCCATCATCGGACAAAGAATCAGCAGCTGGAGGAGGGATTTCCATCATCCTTGGCCTTACGTCATCTAGCATCACCGCTGCAGGCAAATCCCTCAGTTCCTCCTTCTTGTCTGGCGCCTGGTGCTCCTGCGGCGGCTCCTCCGCTGGAACCGTCTCTTCCTCCTCCTCGTCGTCGTAGTAATAAATCCTCAACCCAATTTCGCCTCGAATCTGCGTGCCCCAGAAAGTCTTCTTCTCAATCGGATAGTATACCAGTGCCTCCTCCCCTCGCCTCGCGGCGCGGCTTCCTTTCAACCGGACTTTCCCGATGATGGGATCATCGGTGGCTTTCCCATTGTAGAAATCCTTGTTACTGCGCACCGTGATCAAGAGATCTGCCTGTTCCATCTCGTCGGGATCCTGGATGGTGAACTCGAGCAATTCCTCCCATTCGGGAGCCAAGCTCTTCGGTACTGTATTGGTGGGCTTCGTTTGGCCCCCGAATTCCACGACTGCGAATGGGCTCGCACTGCCCTGCCCATCCCTTGGAGAGAGTTTCCGGGCGTTTTTTACCTCAACGGCGAGTTTCCGGACTTTCTTCGGCTGTTTCTGCGGCGGGGGTGGGGGCGACTGCTGATGAGGTGGACGGTGATGCTCTGAGAATGCCGTCATGGTTTCATGGTGCGTGCGAGAGAGGCCGTTGGATGATTGATGAGAGAGAGAGAGAGAGAGAGAAATGGGTAGCAATTTCTTCTTTTATTGTTTCATTTCTTTTTTCTTTAAAGAAATATATTTGTATTTTGACTAATTCGTGGGCGCTGGAGTTGGTTCCTTACTTTACTTTTTTTTTTAACCTTCCCTTTTCATCCTTGTAAATCTGTTTCTTGGGTTTCGAATTTTACTTTTCAGTGTTGATGATTTCTGGTAGAAATACTCTCCTCAATTTTGGACATTCCGGTAAAAAAGGTTAAATCATGATATAATCGAGATGGACGCATATGTTTATTGCACACAAAGAATTAGAGAGTATTGCAAAGAATAGAATTCTCAACCTGTTGTTGTTGCGATTCGATCTTACAATTTCTTTAGACGAACTAAACTACCCATACGGGCTTAATCTCATCAAATTTGAAAAATTCATGCTATGGGTACACTAAAGAGTGTAGAAATACTCTCGTCAATTTAAAAAAAACTAGTTTAGTTATTGCCAGGTATTTTTTGATATGCTTTCTTAACGAGTTAGATGATGCGGAGTGCACACTAACTCATTCAACAATATGATAAATTTTTTAGCGTAGACCGGGGGGCGGTAGCCTCTAACGAGGTCCAAGAGACAGAGATTTATGGAAATCTTTTCGATATTCGTAAATAGAGTTCAAATTAATGTATATTCTAATGAATAAAATTAAACGTTTTAATGTAATGTTTATCTCCAGCATTCCTTGCTAAAAAGACTTGATACATTTGAATGTTACTCTTAAATATTCTAATGTTTTGCGATAAGACAATAAGGTTCGTGCAGAAAACTACAGAAACAATATATTTAACAATAATTGTTGCAAACATTTGAATGTTTTGAGTGAAGCAGTGTTATTTCATCAACAGACACGTTCGATTAGTTTGCGCTCAATATATATGGAGCCCCAAGGTATGTTTGGGTATCGACAAATTTTCCATACTAATTTTAGATACGATTGAAGTATATGATTTAAGTATTTTGTTTACCTAAAAATAATTTTAATCTAATGCGTTTCGTTTACTCTATTAAGTTTCTTCACTTTCGTTCGTATGGTTCTACATATGGTAATTTACCTAAATAGGACTAAAACATAATGACTTTCTCAAAATATGACCATATGTTTTTATTTCCCAATATATGATTATTGGTCATTATTTATTAGTCATTATTCAAGTAAATGTCCAGCATCATTTGGACATTATTCTTCTCACTAGTCATTATTAATTCATATTTAGGGAATAAAAAAGTTTGGAAAATAACTTATGTTTTAGTCCTCTTCCGTGCAAATTTTACTTCTACATAACGTTGCTACGCAACGTTATCACCCCTTCCAGATTTCCAACATGTGGAATCGGTACGGAACTAGAACCAGGACTGGAATCGAAATTTCCCGAAACTAGTTCCAGTTCCTCTAATTAAAATGTGTACCGGAACCATACTAGTATCATATCCACCCCTATTGTTACCACTTCTTTTATGAATTATATATATATATATATATATATATATATATATATATAATTTGTGTTTTTTTAATTTCTTTACTAACTTTAGTAACTCGAAAGAGGAATATATTTTTGGGACGGAGTAGTATAGACCATGGACGACCGAAAAAGGAGGGAGTATAATAATTAAGGAAGAGATCTAAAAGAGCGAAAAGTAAGTGGCTCCTTTAGTATTGATATTTGATGGAGTAAAATGCTATTGTTATGTGGATGAGGGCATGTAGCAGGCAAGAATTAGATTCCCTATCTCACTTGTGAAGTTTCCTTTCATAATATGCCCTCTCCTCTAGTACGTCTTTTTTCTGTAAAAAAATAAAATAAAATTCAGTAATTGATATGTACATTGATAGATAAATATACATGTAAAATAAAATATAGTATTAACCTTGTAACAATATAATATATATATTCTCCCAACCAACCAAACATTTGTTTTTAAAGTTCTTGTTTGAAATAGTTTCATATATAATATAGTCATCTAGCACTGTTCTCAATTAGTGTTAATGTTCCGGTTAACTTTATCTTGGTATAGTATAAATTAATTTTGAAAAAATGTTAAAGTTAATTAGGTAAGTGATGTGAGAACTTGCAAGGCATCTACTTGAAGTGGACTTTTGTATAACTGTGTAAGGCATCTACAAAGTTAATTACTACTACGTACTTAGTATTTGTTTTTGTAAGAGGCCATTCCATTCTAATACTTCTTTCCTCCCAAATTTGATTACAAATTAGGATTTATGAGGTAAAATTTCTCATCTTTTGAAATTATTTTATTAATTGGTATATAGATAAAAAAAAATAAAAATTACATACTATGTCAAAAGTTGTTGAAAACAAGAGATGACAAGAACATTTTATTTTGTCAAATAATCAAATAAAACACACAAATAAATAAAAGTTATCGAGAAGAGAAAAAAAATTGTAATGAAAGAGGGAGTATAATACTTGAGTAGTATTATTGTATTGGTATAGATTCTGGTTCCCAAACCATATATGCGTGGCTTGTGTGTCGGGACCCTTTTTGTCAAAACCATTTCTGAAACAAAGCATATATCTTTGTATCTAACAAAGTTTAGGCACAAAGTTTGAGTAAATTAATAAAAAAACTGTTTTGCTATATGGAAAGAATTTGTTTAGTGGAAATGAAATCTTATTCAGAGATTATTTTTAAAGTGCCCAAGATTTAACTTGACTTGAAAAAACCTATTATCAAAAAATTTATCATTAAAAAAAGGAGAGAAAAGCATGAAAAAAGAAGAAGGAAAAAAAAGTAAGCTTTTATATATGGAGGAGCACAACAACCACAGTGCCCAACCTACGACTAGCTAGTTTCACTACTTCCATATACATCAAACCTTTTCTTTTTGGTTCATTAATTCTCTAATTAATCCTAAGTTGGACTTCATTGGAATTCGAAATTCTTTAATCACTCATCATCAGTAGATTAATTATCAGGTACTCCGTAATTAAAGTAATCTACAGCCAGTATTATAGATCGAGCACTTCTGTAGTAGACATATCTTAATATTGAGTGATAATCTTCTCATTAGAGGCTAGTATATATATTAAACATAAATGGACTGAACAATTATTGGAATAAGAGTGATCATTTTTCTTAGATTTCAATATATTAGTGTTCACACATTCTATAAATTAAATATACATATGTACTACTCAATTTGTGCGTTCATAATCACATCTCAACTTGTGAATAGAGATGACTAAAGAACAATGAGGATAATGCCACAATAGCGGCGACGATGATGATAGTGATCCCCGTCGTCGTCTCCCTTCTCGTCTTAATCTGTTTTTCAGTTTCTGTGTCGCTTCCGTTACAGGTTCTAGCCTTATTATCTTCCATCATCCGCAATAATGTTGCGCCTTCATTTTTCCCATCAATTATTGAACCACCCGCTTCAATGGGGTTGTTATTTTTTTCACAGTCGCCTCTTGTTGATGACGGTGATGGTCGCGTTTCGTTGGTTGGGTCAGTCTTTTCGACTTGTGTTGTTGATGTTGGTGGTAGTTTTTGGATGACTACACTAAGGAGGCCTAGTAAAAAGCTTGCCTTAGTTTTGCCAATATTAAAATTTGTTGATGCTTGAATAGATGTCTCAAAGTATTTATGGCTCGCTTCGTCCACTCCTTTTATGATTAGATGATCATTTGAAACGCGTATCGTAACTTTTATGTGCTCCCCCATGAATTCTATAAATAAAACAAAGAAGAATGAAGATGAATAAATTAAATTTGCATTGCATGGTTAATAATTAATAATGTCATATGAGGCTTACATTATATTTTTGTAGAAGAAATTAAAATAAAGAACAAGATGGGAAAGGGAGGAACTAGCTAGTTTGAACTGATGAGATATAAATATATACCATGAGGAAGAGATACGGAGATTAGCAGAATATTGTTTGGATTCACAATGCAGGATAGATGATGAACATCTACTTGTTCATATTCCACATTTTTATTATTATTGCCAGATAATGTCGTCTTTGTCATTCTTCCAAATTGTTTAATTTGAGATGTATATGTATATATACACACAAATTAAATATATGTATTCAATATAATTCACCTATGGAATTAATGGAAGGGATGATGATGATGTGTGTATATATATACATACAATCACAAGAGATCATCCCTTTCTTTCTTTATTGCATTTAATTACCTAAATCAAATTAAAAGAGATGGATAAATCCCTTTCTTTCTTTCTTCTTTTCTTGTTTAATTTCCATCTACTTTGTGCCAAACTCTTTCTTTAATCTTAATTTACTAGCTTGCTATAGCTGTTTTACCTCATAATAACAAAGAATAATATGTGTAGGGACCCTTTTGCCCTTTTGTGAAACCATTTACAAAACAAAGCATCTTATAGTCGAATTTAATGGTTTAGTGATAAGAAAAAAATATTGTTAACGAACGTACTTTAACTTCTTGTATCTACCAATTGGATTCACACTTTTCCTTTTTCACTTGTCCAAAAATAAATTGTATACTTCCAAATAAATTTCCAACCCTCCTGCCATAAAACGGAGAGGATAGCTGTTAACTTTATAATCAACAAATTTATCTTTAAAATAGTTAACTTTATTAGGAGACAGTAGCTAATAACCGAAGTGCCCAAGATTTGCTTGGTTTTTTTATTTGCTCGAACAACTTTATGATCAACAAGTTTATCTTTAAAAGAAAAGCATCAAAAAAGAATAAGAAAAAGTAAATTTTATATACAGGGTGGGGTTCCCATGACGTTGGAACCCCATGTCATGGCATGACACGAAGGCATTCTGATGTCCCCTTCGTAAAATTAACAGTTCCTACCCCGCTAAATCCCACGATAAACTCTCACCCGACCCAAACACACCCCCACCCCCTTCAATTGGGCCCTACAAGTTAATTTTGACTTTGGAATCAAGATTTGACCCCGTCAAAATCAATTTGTGGGGTGCAATTGAAAGGGATTGGAGGCTGTGCTCGGGTCACCGGAGCACCGGAACGCTCTCAGGTCATCCCATGAAATTGATGGACAATGTCATGGGAACCGTCCCCATATTATGGAGGAGCACAACATGTGCCACAATTCCCACCCTATGACTAGTTTCACTACTTCCACACACCAAACAGTTTCTTTGTAGCTTCTTCTTCTTCTTTACTTGAGCCACGCCTTTTCTTTACTGCTTACTCATTATTACAAAGAATAATGTGTGTGAGTGAGTGTCTCTATATACTACTCCTAAAACAGCAGCTGCCCAAGAAATAGCATAGCACACTTTTGGTAGGTGACAAAATTATAATTATTGTGGATTGCAATTTGAAAGGCCTTTCCCTTCAAACTCGTGCTCAATATTATATAATGTACACTAGTACAACAAACAAACACAGTAAAGAATGTTGTTCATCTGATATCTCATGCATTCGTCTTATAATCTCTCCTATAATGTAATTATACCGACCAACTTATACACTAAACGATCAATGGCAATATTACAAAAGCGAATTGGGCGTACTCACTCCTCATCTCCAACAAATCCTCCAACTCGCTGACGCCTTTTGTCAAGAACAGCCTTGAAGGACTCTTGCTCCGCCCGCAATTGTTCTTGGAACACCCCCTGCCTCCTCTTCGTCTGCCACCCACCACTCAATGGCATACTCTCTTCTCCTTCAGCAATGGGGTTTGATTTCTGCATTCGTTTTTTTCATTATACCAGCCCAAAAACAACTGTGAATATAAATACTTTCTTTGAAATGTGACTGAATCACACCAAAGAAGCATACGGGTCGAACTTTTACCAAGTTGTATCCTGCCCCAGGACCAATTACTAATGATACATTAGCCGCTTTTTTTGCTCCTATTGAAAACCCCGCTTTGGCAGCCTAGGCAAAATGGTGGCAACACAATATTATAGATTTATACTCATAGTACAAGGAAGGAGACTTTCTTTTCTTCAATGTTGCCAAACCATTGAGAAAATAAGAAATACAACTATATCAATTAAAGAGAAAGGCATGAAATATATATGTGTTGAACACTATAAACTACATTACCTGATCCCCCCAACGTACTGTTTTACCTTCTTTTCGAGAAGATTGGATCAAACCAGAGCCATTTGATTTCTTGTGAGTATTTTCATATTTTGGCACATCATCCTCATCCAGATCAGTTGACCATTTACTCTTCCCTATATCCTTCACTAAACTAATTGGATGTTCTGATTCGTCATCATCCCAACTCAAAACACTTTTAGAATGACCTACAGTTTCCAAAATTGAAACAACAAATTCAGGAAGCATGTCTTTAAAGCCACCATCAGTAAGCACAACAGACAACTTACACTTCCATATGTTAAGCCTAAATAGATAAGGTTACTTTTTTCTCTACTACACTAGCCAAGAAACAGAGTTAGATTGATCAGTGTATAACTTTTAGATTTTGTAAGGTATAACTATCACAAGTATTTTTTTCTACTACAGTACTCGAGAAAACATGATCAATATATCACTTTTAGATTTTGTAAGGTACAATTATCGCAAACGGAATAATGAGTCTTGACTACAGAAATTTATTTGTTGGTTAAATCTTGGATGGCAATATTTTTAACAAATTACAAGAAAAAGCAGCCTTGTTTGATCATACTGCCTTTTTTTTGGGAAGAAAAGAATGCTTGGAATGGGAATAACTTTATTTGGGGCAGAGAGAGCAAAAACAACTAAAATACATTATATGATACCCTAACTTTACCAATTCGAGATGGAGAGGAACACCAAGTAAAGAAACAAGAGAGACAGAGACAGAAGTAAAATGAAAGAAAGGTGGAGCATAGGACAAGTTTGCAACTCAGGATTAAGTGGTTTAACGTTCCCACACCTATAGGGTGCCTTTTGTCAGTCCACTCCTACTTAATGAGAGTTCTTGGGTATCATTTGTTAATCAGTTTCCGAATGGATTGGATGGATTATGGTCGTGAGTTGTGACCATGCATACTTTATCACAGTTCGTCAAAATCAAAACATCATTGTAGTATAAGATATTTAATCCAATTCAAAGGAAAAATTGTGAGAAATCATAAAAGACAATTGCAAATCTAAGAAAATGAGCAACACAAGTGCTCACAACATACCATCGGAACATATTTCCATTGGTGGTACTACAGCACTCCCGCTAATCCCTTGTTCAGAAGTAGATGGTCCTGCTGATGCATCTCCATCTTCCATGTCCATGTCTACCTAGAAAAAGAGATTATTTACAGCACAAAATAATTTGTCAGAAAAGAAAAGGTGTTTCAGAAGTATTGAACAGTTAAGTACCTCAAGCATGAAGCCTTTGCCTAAAATTTAGATATGAGCACATACACTTATAATTGTGTTAAATAAACCATTATTCCTCTTTTAGGCCAGAATATAAATGTTTTTTAAAGATATTTTTATGCATGTAAGGAATTATCGGCTAGAAGAAAGCATGTGGTGTGGATTGATCACAAAAGTACCTCTTGTATCGCACCATGCTCAAGATCATCCCCGTGAATTAATGACTGAACAGAATAAAACACGTTTAGGAAGAGTGCACCCTTTAAAATACAGAAACTATTGATACAAAGACCACAAGCACCCATCTTTAGTACTTAAACATAAAGGTTCTTAGATATGTAGAAAGGAAATACAATAATAAAAAAAGTGTCCAACATGATCCCCACCCACCCTCCATCTCAAGAAAAAGGAGCACAGGAAAACACTTTTTGCTGCTAACACAACATTAATTGCTTGAACACTTGAATGCATCAAGGCTGCATATCATTTATAAATATAACAGACCTTAATATCAAGTTTCAAGTACATTGATGGAGCCTCTTCCCACTCATCAGTCCACTTCTGTATTTCACTCAGTGTAAAACCATGCACATTCCGTGCTGCACACCCCTGAAATTCATAATTGAGGAGAAAATAAAGTACTTCTCCTGCCCCTTAAATATTGTCTCGACCAAGCACAGAATTTTTTTAGTGCACAGGAGCAGAGTGTAAGAAAAGGATATTTGTGGTTGAAATTTATTTAAAATTGAGAAAATTTGTGAGCTATACATTGCTACTTTAGAAGGAAATGAGTGAGTGGTGACCATTTTGTTACAGACAAAAAAGGAAAATGTGAAGATAATTTAGGGTCAAAGGGATAGAACTTGGGCAAATGCCATAATATCATTTACTTATATTCAATTAAATTATTAAAATACATGCAGAACTATGGGTTAGTGCACTATATGCATCTTCAAATTCGTGACTGTAAGCTAAAATTTGATCATGGCTAACTCACCACTGGGTCCGTGTATGGGGCTTCGAGTAAGTAAACTTCATACCCAGATCTCTGCAATTATAAGAAAATGAATGAATAAAAGAATACAACTAATATGCACAATAAATAGATGCTTGTATAATATACAAAAAACTATTACATAATTTGGTAGAAAATAGATGAAAACATGTACCGAAACCCACATTCCCAGCAAACATAAGAAAAAAGTAGCTTTCAGAAGTTACACTCTTGCAGTATTGCACATCGCTAGAAAAAAAATCATTTAATAACTCACTAACTAATTACATTTATACTTAATTACAATTATGTGTGAAGAACTCCTTTTTTATATTAGGGAGTATTTTATTTCTTTAAAATTTGTTATGTATTTATATTTTATACTATTATATGTATAACTTATTATTATAATTATTTATGATTTATCTCTATTTATGAGGTCATACCAGTTCGACCAGTGATCAAACCGGTGACAGGTAACATCATTGGTACAATGTCACGTCCGTGTTTTGAAAACATTGGGTTACAATGTACAAAAAGATCCATACAAACAAAGTTGATGTTTTTATTTGTGTGGTTGATAGAATCAAATTGGAAATCCATTATTGAAGATAAACTTTTCTTTGCAGCCATATGTAAACCTCATATCAACAAACATATGGAGAACTGGTGGTAGGAACGGTGGATTGTTACAATCATGCACCCGAAACATAAGAGGATTCAAGACAGAGCCAAATATCAAACAAGAAAATTATAAAATATATGGCATAAAAAAGGATTGTATGAAACCCCACTAAGCTAATGTGACTGGGATTCCCCGGAGAAAAGTTAAAAGAGATGTAGGATGGAATGATTGTGGGTCCTGAGAAACTGCCACATTATCGCGCATCTTAAAATTGACCTAGGAAAAACCGGAAAAAAAACTAACAGCTGATTAAAATGACATGTTAAATTGAATACATAATTTGTTTCATCCCTACAACAGATTTATTTTACCCTTCAGTTCAAACAAAAATTGGATCTCTTTATGTGATGGTGGTGAAAGCACATGGAAATGCAGAAATACAAATTATAAATACCAGGCAAGCAGAAACCACCCATGGATCCGATAAAATCCGTGTTTGACAAGAAAAATATTCCACAATAAAATAATAATGGCATAAATTTAAGTATCAACATAGAGTGCACAGTATTAAAATTGTCCATAAACAAAAGGCCAAAGTGCTAATTTGCCTGACACAAGGTGCAACAAATTTTTAACCAAATATACTCTGTATTTGACAAGGTATATATTTCAAGAATAAAATAATGGCATTACAATTAAGCAGCAAAATAAAGTACACGGCATTCAAATTGTCCATCAATAAAAGACCAAAGTGATCATCTGACTCACATAAGGTGCAGCGAATTTTTAACCAGACCTCAAAATGGATACTTAAAATGGAAACCAAAAGCGACTATGTATAGTTCACAAGGCAACAGAAAGTAACCTGTGAAGGCGAGAAATCGCAGACCTTCATAGTATCCCAATTCCCACAAACAGATATACCAAGAACAGATCACATATACTGTTTGTAGGAAAGCAAGAATTGAGTGTATACCTTAGCAGTTGCCCAAAACTGAGCAAAATCAGCTACCCGCAGATTGCGGTCATCCACTAAGATGAGGAACAAATACCAGCAACAAATGGGTCAATTGCCGAACAAAACTGCATCTGCTGTTAGTAAACTGAAGGCAGTGCATTCGCACTGCAGGACCACTTAATCTAAAATTAATCTATCTTTGAGCCTTTAATTTGAGAATCTAGCACACTTAACTGAACCCACCTCCAGCACACATTTTAAGTTTAACCTTACGTTTTTATGTAAATTAAAATATGTATCGGGGTTTTGCAAGCAAATATCCTAATTAAGACACGGGTCAATGCTTATAAGGGTTACATCTTACGTAATTCAAAAAATGGAACTGGGACTTGAGTAATTCATTTCAGCAAACAATTCGAAAGAAATCCACACAATCAGAAATGCTAACAACTCATCATCTGTATAGAAGATAGAACTAAATTCCAATTATAGCAAAAACAGATATAAGATCATTGATAGATTTTTAAAACAAAACATTTAAAAGAAGCAGCAAAAATTTCACACAACATGCCAAAAATCATACCAATTACTAAGGAGAAAACTCCCTCATCAAGGGTCTTCTTAAATGCCTTCAGCATGCTTGACCGATAAGCCTAAAAAGGAAGTCGTGTGTTATTACACATATACAGGGCAAAGCATTGTAGCAAGTAGCAACCCATTACAAATGAGCAAGTTGACGGATAATAATATTACAATCAGAGACAAACTTAGTCTGACATTGTAACAAGTGTAAGCATATACACATGGAACATATTGAATATGCAGAAAACAAATATGCATACTTTGCAGAAAATGCATTTCACCATCAAAAAAGTTTTTAAACCAACTTGGCAACTTATAAAAATAACTATTATTACTTCCTCTGTCCTATAAAAAGAGTCCACATCCATGACTGTACAACTTTTTTTATTTTGGTAAGGTACAACTCCTAGAAAAACCCTATATACCTATATATATTAATAAACAAGTGGAGATAGAGTTATTAGTGCTCAAAAAAATAAATAAGTTAAGAAATAGGACTCTATTTATGAGATGAAGGGAGTGTAATAATAATAATTGGAAGGCATAATAATAATAATAATAATGTAAAAAAGCAAGTTTTGCATGGTACAGGTAATAAGTTTCGTTCCTCAATGTTATAATGGCATGCAAATCAACTAGATCATGCAATATGATGAAAAAAATGTTCCGCAAACATCAATTTTCTCTTTGAGAGAATGTGATTCTCCTCTTGGCTCGTGTAGCCGACATCAAGTTACTTGGGTTAAGGCTTTCTTGTTGTTGTATCACTTAAAATTTAAAGAACTTCACAAAAAATTAAACCAAATACGCCCAGTACATCCCACATAAGAGTACAGTCCTTGCGCGGGGGGGGGGGGGGGGGGGGG